GGGGTAGGGTTTAGGGTTTGGGGATGAGGGTAGGGTGCTGAGGGGCTACCCCTAATTCCAGCTATCTGCAGTTTTATGGGTTATGGGTGAGAACCCACTGGAAAAGAAAATGGAACATGAAATGGAAGCTGGGGTCATGTAGCAGTTTCTCGGGACAGATTCATGGGGGTAGGATTTGTAGAATGGAAGAGAACATGGAAACCACTGCATTATTCAGGGTTAAGGGTTTTAGGCTTTACCTGTATAACCCTAACTACCTGCAGCTTTAGAGGTTTTACCTTCTATTTAGGAGGGTTCTTGCTATTACGCCATAAGTAACGGTGGTTGCAAGTGTAGTTTAGGGCCTAAGGCTTCAGGGCTTTAGTAGGTAGATTCCTGAAGGCCCCGTTGCATGATAGAACACCTGGTCTCAACCTTTCTCTGAAAATGCCTGGAAAAGCTGCTTTACTGTCATACCCTCTCTAGAATTCTGGTCAGGTTCTGTTTTATGGCAACCCTAAGGGTCCAAGTACCTAACAACCATGTACTTACCCAAAACCTGTACTATATTCAATATTACCTGCCACCCAAGTACCTAATTATTCGGTACTTGGACCCTCTGGGTAAAGAGCCAGGTTTGAGACCTCCAGATCGGTGGAGGTCAGCGCCGCGGACGTAGAGATACTGGGCTGCTTGCAGATTCCTGCGGAAAGGGGGTTTGTTGGCGGTCATAAGCACGGGGCCCAGTGATGCACCACATATACGGTAAATAGTCCTTATCATAGGAGCACCGAAAACCTGAGAGTCTCGGCCGCTACACTGCGCGAGTACTGCTGGGACTCTTATCACGATGTTTCATCTATCTTCCGATAATAAGGACCTTGGGCAGTCGTGCCGCCTTAAGCGTGGGGAACAGCGGTCAGATGTCCATCTTAGACTTACCTGAAACCCCCAAAGTATGTTCTGGGCTGTTTTTAGGGTTTTGGCCCAAGTAGAAGCTCTAGTGCACCGTGGTCAGGACAGGCGGCAGAGCCCGGCAGGTTCAGTTGTTAAACAAGTTCAGATAGAGGATGCCGTGCTGGCCAATGTCTGAGGGTAGAAAGGACTCAGCCGCACTTTTCTCCGGGCAGGCTGTAATCCATTCCGGCATTGAAACGACGAGCCCACAATGAGGGGCAAGCCCTGTGAAACAAGTCATGTTACAAGGGATGCATAAGTGCTTTTGCCCCAAACACACAAGACATGCATCCAACATGTCTGGCACTGAGAGGAAGGATGCCTTGCACCGCCAGACATCTGACTTGAATTCGCCTGCCAGTCACAGTCGCGCAACGTCTCATTTCTGCACACCAGCATTTATTTCGCATGACAGGCTTGAATGCATGTCCTCAGTATTTCTTTATTTGTTGTAGAGTAATTGGAGACTCTGCGCCGACCAGCATGTCCAGCAAATGATTATAAGAGTTCAATCATTCAATGCTGCCTGCAGGTCCCTGCAGATTGCTAATCGGTACGACCTCGTTTGTTTGTTTGTTTCAAGCAAGCTTGCTGACCTCACGGACTCAGCGCACATTTCGAATCTGTGTGTTCAAATGCCACTCGTCCAACAAGGAGGCCTTTTGTCTTGCCTTCTTGCTCGATGCAAGCGCCTCTGGGCAGGAACTCTCCCGCGCAAGTCGGCTGAAGAGCTGGTCTTGGAGGGCTTCATGATGGGGTTCGGCCCTGTGTAGCTCTGGCAGCCTCTCTGCCGTTGGAGAAACCTCTGGTCGTTTGGCTTGCCCAGAAAACCTGCGGTCAGAACCCAAGGGCTTGGGCTGTGAGGGAAGGGCAGGGTCCAGCATGCGGAAGGCGCTGTGGCCCAACAAGGCCCCTGCTGACTGCCGGCGCGGAGGGCAGCAGCACACCAGGGAAGATATGACGTTGTGCATCTCGGGGTTGCTCTGAATTTTCTCGCACCATACACCAGCTCTAAAGCGCGGGAAGCGATCTGACCAGTTTGCCAGTGAGGTCACTCCTGGCCAGGACAACTCATCAGGGGTCCCAAGGAGCTTAAACTGCTTGAAGAGCATGTCTATCTCCGAGGAGCCAGGGAACAACACCTCATGCAGCATCATCTCCGCAATGACGCATCCCAGCGACCAAACATCCAGCCTCAGACCGCTTTGGTCACCACTTTTCTCGGAGCCAAGCAAGATCTCCGGGCCCCTGTACCTTGCAGCTTTGCACTTTCGGCACTAATTTCAGAGTGAATAGGGTTTAGTATCCGGCAGAACCAAAAAACAAGCGCGCTTTGAGGAGGATCTTATAAGGCCTCACTGTTGATACCATACGCCAGATTACACAGAAGCCAGATACCACGGGAAAAGCTGCAACCAATTTGACTTCATTGTCCATGTTGGTCTCCTGTAGCGTAATTATAAAGGCCGCCAGAAAGACCTACTTGACCACATTTGCCGTCACACGTTCCATTTCGCCCCGAAGATGAACAACCTAAACTCCTTTTTGCCCATTTCCAGCATCAACTTCCTGCTCCCCCAGCTCCCAAGCAACCCTGGATATCGGGAAATGTTCGTTTTGGGGCACCTATAATTCGAACTATGGTATTTGGGGGTATATATACACATATATGTATTTGGGGTTTATGACAACTTCCATAGAGGACTTCTGAGGGAATTACAGGGTCTCAGGGCCTATAGGGTTTAGGGTTTAGACTGCCACGAACCAAAGCCCCACTATTTGCTGGTGGACTCGAGGGTGGGAATACGGGGTCTTGGCATATGGCATGTGGGGAATTACACAGAGGTAGACCTGGAGGACCCTCCAAACCCTACCTAAACCCCAAAAGTAGAATAATAGCCCTAAACCACTTAAAAACAGCCCAAAAGGCTATCATTCTACATGCTTTGGGGGTCCAGGTAAACCCCAAACCCGCAGACACCCATTCCCCTCCGCACCAGTTAGTCGAAGCCTGTCTGACTATCCAGCTGTCTGAAAATCTGCCAGCTCTAAATCAAATGCCCCCGAAATTCTGCGAAAATACAAACTGAGTTATATTCTAAACTCCTTAAAGTGTTTTTATACGGGATTTAATAGGGGAGTATTCTAGGGTTTATCACAGGGGATACTAGGAGTTTAAGACTATGGCTCATATGGGGTTTCCTCAAAACAGTGGACTGCTTTGAAGCACAGCCTAGGATATACAGTACCAAAGATTATGAGGCGGAGGTTACGTTATCCCTATCGGGGTTCTTTTGGGACCTCCGGGAACTTCCCTCATTTAATGTGCCCCCAACCCTAAACCCTAAACCCTGAACTGCCCCAAGTAGCCACAGTGAGGCCACGCGGTGCGTTTCAGGGCACTGGGAGATGGTAGGTTGCACCACCACAGTGCGGGCCAAAGAGAAATCACACCTGAGGACTCCTCCCAATTATGAAGAATCAAATGGAAAAGAAACTGGAACATGAAATGGAAACTGGTGTTATTATGGGTTATGTTGGGGTTATATTGGGACACCGGAGGACTGGGCTCACATCTTTCTCTAGGGATCCGAATATACAATCATGGAATCACATGTAAAAAATGGAAAATGACATGGAACTAGGGTTATATGGGGCATTGTAGGGACAATTAAGGGCGGAAGGGATCCAAGTATACGAGTAATACCTACATTGGCTTGTAAAATCTGCAAATGTTAGGTGCATTGAGCTATTTGGATCCCTAGCGTAAACCCTCAACCATTATACCTACATTGGGCTATCTGGATCCCTATAGGGTTGCAGATGTAAACCAAATTTAGCTATCCGTTGGTGACGGCTTTTAAACGAGTCCCCCTATTGACTCCCAATCTAAATATCATCCCTGACGGGTGCCCAAAATTGCCACCTCTTTTCCCCCATTTGTAGGACGAAGTGCGGCTTACTGGCGCTTTAGGGAGAGTGAGGGATCTAATCCTTTTAATAATCCCTACATTATCCCAATATACCCTTGTTGTAATCCCTATATTCGCCCGCCCCACTCCCCCTTAAGCACCAGCAAGCTGGTCCATGGGGTCTCAGCTGCCGAGTCTTCCGGCATTGTCTTATAGCAGTAAGATCTTTACAGTGAACCCAACTTGTTAGTTTCCATAAGCTCGGGGGACCCAACTTGAGCCCACCAAATACTATAATGCTTGTTCATGGCCCCCCAGAAAAAGACTCCCAATTTTGGGAAGCCTCCACATTTAGGAAACCCTGAACCCTATAAAACCACTAAATACGATTTTCCACTCTCTTTTCCATTATCCCAATATACAACCCTTTATTTCCCCTAAACCCTGAGCCCTATGCATCCGCAAACGCGTCAAAGGTACAGCTTGACTTCGTCAGTCTCAGGCTTGACCTGCAGCACACGAAGCTTGCTTTGCCATGGTTTGGTGCAAAGTGAAGGTCTCGAATAGGGTCTAGTTTGGGACTTAGGGTTCTCGGGCTTAGGGTTTAGGTTGGAGGGCATATAACCTTAAACCCTAAAGCCTAAATCCCTAGACCCTTAAACTCTAAACCTTCAAAATTTGGGTCTTAGAGTGACGTTTGAGGGCTGTAGCTTCAGAGTTGTGGTTTCAGGTGGTTAGCTCTGAAGCCCTTTGGCCCTCTGACTTCCAACCCTGGACCATCTAATCTTTCGTGTTTAACAGAACAGATGGTTAAGGGTTTAGGGTTTAGGGTTTAGGGTTTCATACTAGTCTATCCAAAGCTTACCGGGGGTCAGTAGGGAATAAGGGAATATATTCCAGAGGTATAATATACTGTAGAGATTTTTCCCGTGTTCCCTACGAAGCACAGAGTAACCCTAAACTGAATAAACCCCAACCCTTAACCGAACCACCAAGAAGAAAGCCCCAGTCACCAGGACATTCTGCGGCTTGATATCTCGATGGGCAACGCGGTGCGCATGACAATAGGCCAGTGCTTGAAGCAGCTGCAAGGCCTCAGTGAACCCCAAGTAGGGAGAACGGAGAATAACATGGAAAGTAATGGAGTTATATAGGGAATATGAAGGCTTATACAGTTTGCACCTGGTCTTGCATTCAGGGTCTAAGGATGGACACGCACATTTGAAATTGACACGGGAACTGGGCTTTTTACAGGGATACACATGCGTCAGGTTTGGGCGCATTTGGCGGGCTTTCTCGGGCTTAGGGTTTCAGGTTGAGGCTTATACCATAATATACCATGATATACCAAAATATACTATAATCGACCACAATATACCAGGGTTTCAGGGTTGAGGCTTTTCGCGTGTGGAGTGGATTCTAGCGGTTCTGGTGCTGGGGTCCGGGGCTTTGGAGCGTTTGGGGGCTTAGGGCTTTAAAAGTTGTATCCTCATTGCGGTTCATGGATTTTAGTCTTGGGGTAAGAAATACAATTTGGGGATTCGCCGAGGAGGAGGAGGAGGAGTGGTGGTGGTTAGTACTCTTTCAGTACCTTACTGGTGGTTAATAGGGAATATGGGAATGGTTTATATAGGGGTTATCTCGGGATAGTATTCCCATATTCCCTACTAGCCACCAGTAAGTTACAGCAGCGGAAGCAGCAGCAGCGGAAGCAGCAGCAGCAGCAGCAGCAGCAGCAGCAGCAGCAGCAGCAGCAGCGCCAACACCTCTTCTTCGCTGATAATTACTGCTGTGTGTATGGATGCCGAAAGCAGCAATGATGGGTATGAATTGCAAGTCCGGGATGCAAAGCGCCAGACTCTCCGCTCAGGGAGAGGGCCCAGTTCGTGCATGTACCGCGCAAGGTCGCGTTCAAAGTGCTCGAAGACCATGATGATCTTCCCAGCCTCTCCGTAGACTTCCAGTAGAGGCCTAGCAGAATCATTGATCTTTGCTGCTTTGATGTTCTTCCCCCTGCTGACGAATCACAACTTTCTCAACTTTTTTCTCAACTTTGAGGACAAAAACTCCGTGGTGCTTGACTGACCGCCGAAAGAGTAAGAGTCGTGCTAAGGATTACAAAGGTTGTGTAGGCTTCTACACTGGTGAAGGCAGCGATGGCAACTACCCAGCCTGCTACGACTTGTATCGCTAATCAGGTCTCCCATATGCGAGCGATTCAGGGTTTAGGGTTTATGGTTTAGGGCTTGGGGTTTACCAAAGACAAGGGAGGATAGCTCAAGCGTGCTAGGATAGTATCGATCATATGACAGAATCGTGATTGCACTTGTCAGGATAATGAATTTCTACCTACCTTAATTTGCCCAAGATGCACAATGCCCGGGTGCTTCCCCAAGGACTTCAGCAAGGATACCTGTGTGGCAAGGACATGCCATCATGGGGCTTCCTGAGGCTATATGGTGTGAGTGACTTGCACGAAGGGTGGGCGCCAATGCAGGGGCCTTGGCATACCCCAATGGCCGTCCATAATTTGGCCTCTTTTATGACTTCGATCGATTTTGTCACAGCCGTATTGGAGGCCAAGCTAACCCTTCATTGTCTCTCTCCTCCGGCCATGACGAAACGAGTCAGATCAAACCCATGCCTGCAGTTGATGGAGGAAATCTTGCACCCTAGTCCCTGAAAGAATAACTGTAACTCCCAGCAACGTCCATGTCCTAAACTGTGGCAGGAATCTTCCACTTGAGACCTTTGCCTGCACTGAGGGGGCTCAAAGGTGCTTGCTGCCTCAACAGGAAGACCAAGAAACAGCATTAAACTCAACCTTTCGGCACCCAATGGACTACCTTTCACGGACAATAAAGTAGGTATGATGTACTGGCGCAGAGCCGCAGGGAAACTATGCACTCACCTTTGGCGCTTCTTGCCCGGTGAGGGTCTTGAACCTTGAAACAGGCCTTTCACTGGTTCAGGGTTTAGGGTATGGGCCTTGAGACTACACCAAGAGTGAAACCTTTGCCTTGAACTTTCCGGATCTTGTCGTAGTTTCAACCCCTACCCAGGTGCAGTGGAAACCATTAATCATGTTTCAAGTTACCTTCTCTAGTTTAAACCGAGCTTAACTACAGTTCAAGCCCAACTCCCCCCTAACCCTCAACACCGAAATCTTGCTGGCTCTTAGCCGGGAACCAGGAAATGTAATCCCTATATCATATATTCCCTTATTCCCTACTAAATCCCTATTCCCTACTAAATCTCTATATCATAGATTCCCTTATTCCCTACTTACTCCCTAAACCCTAAACCCTAAACCCTAAACCCTAAGCCCTAAACCCTAAACCCTAAACCCCAAACCCTAAACCATCAGCAGCGGTGCCTCACGGAGCGCCTGAGACGAAGCTCCGAAGGCACCCAGGGAGGAAGGCCCTTCCGAGGAGCCTCGCGGCGGAAAATGTGTACAAGGAGCCACCCAGATACCTCCCTCTTGGGTTAGGGTTTAGGGTTTTAGGGTTTAGGGTGTTAGGGTTTAGGGGTTTAGGGGTTTAGGGTTTACCGACATTGGGCCGAACGTCTGTAATGGAAGGTTTCCTACATTCGGGTATCTGGATCCCTAGGGCCTACCCCAGTAACACAGCTCTCCAGCTTTGGCTACCCCGATGAAATACCCAAAGAAGCCATCCCTACTGAGAATCTGGTCAAGGAACCCTACAAATCCAAATATCCCATTGAAGGGAATATTTACAAAGTTTAAAACCTAATGTAGGTAGTATTGGTATACTTGGATACCCTAAACCCTTAACCCTGAACCCCAAACCCTAAACCCTAGAGTTTAAAGCCTAATGTAGGTAGTATTGGTACACTTGGATACCCTAAACCTTAAACCCTAGAGTTCAAAGCCTAATGTAGGTAGTATTTGTATCCTTGGATCCCAAGTTTTAAGGAAGTCCCTGCGTCCCTGCGCGGCCTCCTGGCTCTTCATATGCGAATCGGACCTTCCTTAGTTTTCTGGGCTGCTTCCCCAGACCCGTGGAAAGATCTTAAAATAAGATCCACTATATAGACCCGTTATAACCCCTATATAATCCTCATATAGTTGCCCATATGGTTCTAAAGGGATCTAATTTTTAGATCCCTTTGGTGGGTCTGGGTCCGTGCGCAAGTTGGGTTAGAGGAGGTTGTCATAGACCCTCGTCGCCTCTGCAGCAACTCGCACGTAACATTGGCCTATAGACGTCAGGACCACCTGGCAGAATGCAGGAATACATGCAGGCCAAATTTGGGAGTTCAGATACCACCGCTTACGCTTGCTAAACCCTAAACCCTAAGAATCCTGCCAGAATGGATTGCCGGGATTCTTGATAGCTACGATGCGCCCCGTGTCACCACACCTGCGACAAGGAGTCTGAGAAAGGCTTTTGAGCATTGCTTAGTGAGCCCCGTCTTCCTTATAAACATGCACGTCGGCTGGCTGCCCAAAATTGCAAAACTGAAAATGCGATCATTTGAGGATCGTGTGGTTAACCATCATTCGCGGTGCAGTCTGGTGAAGTTCCTACAACATATCCAGCTACAGTGTGGGCCCGGGCTATCGTGCGGTCATACAGGTTCCCCGCGTACTTCTTGGACCGCGTTAGCTAGTCGTGCATGGTATCAAGCTTGTCTGACATAATACACTATAATACAGTATGAATTACCCCAATATACAAAGCAGTTTCTGTTGCACACTGGCACTGCGAATTCACCTACTGGTGCTTAGTAGTGAATATGTTATAGAGGGATTCTATGGGGATTATGCTCCCTTATTCCCCACTAACAACCAGTACGTTCAAGCTTCGAGTTTAGGTATATAGCTCCCCTTAAATAGATAGAATATGGGTTTGATCATAACCATAATAAAAACCCCGTATATCCCATATTCTATCTATTGAAGCGGGGCTATAGGGACACGTCACAAGGGACGGGCCAATAGCTCCGACGTGCATTTGATGTCAGAATGGAATCCCGCGAGTCAAGTCTGAAGCGACCCTGGCAAGATAGTAGGGCCTGTTTACTACGCTATAATATATTGAAGTAATTTATAGTATATTATAGTGTGTTGTAATATATTGGGGTAATTCATTACAGTACATTCTAGTATATGGTGGTAATTTATCGTATATTATCCGTAGGTGAAACCTATTGACAAAGAATGCTTGAGTGTGGGAGTGTGGAAGTGAATACTGTGCCTGCCTGAACTGGTAACCATGTAACCCAAATCAATAACCCCCCCCCCCACTTAATGAGAATATAGTAGGGATCCTGATTTTAGGGCCCTTAAAAGGAGGGGCTTATCAATCAGGGCTCTACACTAACCAAGTAGCCCAAATTAAGCTATGCATTAGCGTCATTCTGGACCTCACCTACAACTACCCAGCAGCTTTCGAGTACAGCCAACTACAACATCTCCCTCCAGTTATCCCATACCGTAATGTGAGCCATTGTCTAAACTCCTAGTATCCCCCTCAATAAACCCAATGCTACTCCCTTTTTAAGCCCCTACATAATCCCCTTTGAAGGAGTTTAGACTATTGCCCATGTGATCTTCATGAAGCCCTTCGCAGGGACATTGGGTCCGGCAGGCCTGCATCGAAAGACTACGCCGCATGAGCCTTCACCGACAATGCTCAACTTTTGGTACCTCTCCTTGGCTCCCGCACCAAAAAAAACAAGAATAGGAATAACAGTAGAATAACAGTAGTAAAGGTAGTAAAAGTACCGATAGTACGAACCGTCCTGCCGCAAACAAAAATGCAAGACCGCAGGAGTTTCCTTCAACAGGGCTACAGTTTGTAGAGGGTTTCTTTGGGGGCTCAAGTGTATTGCAAGCCTTGGGGCGCATTCACCTGAAGCAAAGAAGAAGCAAACTCTAACATCTAGGTCGAACCTGGCAAGCACCCTAGACTGAAGAACGCTTCATGCTCCTTGCAAAGACCAAGCTTCTTGAATCGGCACGACCTCAGCTAGCAGTTCTTCAAAGTATAGGTTGAATGATCATGGACCACGCTGGAAGGCATCATGGTATGTAGACGGAGGCTGGAGTCGTTAGTCTGATGTTTGGGGTGCCAGAGCTTCTACAAGACTGCTCATCACATATTTGCTTCCTGATCCTAACAAATCTCATCTGCATGCGCCGAATGGGAAATAGTTTGTTGTTTGCTGCTGGTCATATCTGCAGTCTAGGTCCTGCAAGAAGCGGCACAATGTGTGCCGTCACGGGAGGCATTCGCCCCGACGACTAGCTTGAGAGTTCTCCAATCTTCTGCTATGCAATCCGCAGGCGCAACAAGACCCTTTCTACCCATCCTATTGAAGTCCTTGTTCTTTTTTGAATACCGGATTTCTGTATCATGGCATATGAGCCAAACAGTGAAACCTTCTCAAAAGCCCACCACCAGGAGGCGCAGCCGTGTTTCTACATGGCTACAGGCGCGTTTCCCAAAACTATAAGGGTACCTTTCTGGGGGTCCGTACATTAAGGATTATAGCATTTTGGGGGGTCTGTATTGGGGGCCTCCTATCTAGGGAAATTACCACATTGTCAAGGAAGCCTGTTCCTCCGCTGGGGCCGCTGCCATCACACCCTGTTTGTGTAGGCACGTGCTGGGCTGCTAAGCTTGGGCACAGCAGCTGCTGAAGAACAAGCACTAATCTGCCTTCCGACAACTAAGGTGCAACCCGAGAAAGAGGCCTACATTTGGTTTCCGGGTCTGTGGAGTTGAGCTGGGGGGGGGGTATTCCCAGTAAGCTCTATGCACAAAAAAGAGAGCTTTGAATGCTCCTTCTCACATGACTTCCGAGCTTCAAGCAACACCTGCTCCGAACCCTGTAACCATATCATTCTGTTGAAGGTTCTCACCCGAAAAATTGCAAGGCCTGCCCTGAGCCTCTCGGC